AATCGTTCGATAAGAGCGTACCGGACGTCTTATCTTATGGACCACGCTGACATTACATTCGCGTTTGTAAATATGCAACAACAAATGAAAACACCGCTCTATAAGATGTCGTAAGATATCGAACTAGCTGGTAAGAATATGACGTACTTGGAATTATAAGGAATGCTACTGAATTATTGTAAAAATAGATGAGAAAGGTAAAAAGTATCAAAATAAAAACAAAACAACATGCTTATGAACAAGACAGGGCGTGAACAGACAACCGAATCGCAAAACGTTGATCCGAGATCCCCTTAACATAAACAGGCAAATCCTTACTTAATTTCAGTCGCAGAATTCAATCAGAATGTTAAGCTTTGTACCCCAGCGAGTAATGTCGTAATGCTTTACATTAACCCCCCGTAACACAATCCCAGTCACGGCACAGAACGAAACCTTTAATTATTATCAACACGTCATTTTCATTATAAAAGGCGAACATCGTAGGGCTGTGTAAAAAAAAGGACTAAGCGAAAAAAAAAATTTTTTTTAAATAATTTGAATTTACTTTTCAAGACGTCGTGGGTTATATGGCCATATATAAAAGCTAGGTATAAGTGTTTTTTTTTCATTTAACTGTGTAGATGTAGGATCTATGTTGAATAGATAATATGAAAATTTATAGTACATTTTTTTTTTCGGTTAACCTGTCGATATGAATTTCAAATTTTATTACAAGTTACACTGACTCGAACTATGAACTATCTTTTTTACAACGTGAAGAAGTAAGGGTCAACACTGCGATAGATTTGTCTGTACTAGTCTATATCTATACTAATATTATAAAGAGGAAAGATTTGTTTGTTTGTTTGTATTGAATAGGCTCCGAAACTACTGAACCGATTTAAAAAATTCTTTCAGTGTTGGAAAGCTACGCTATCCCCGGGTGACATAGGCTATATTTATTATATTTAAAAAAAAATAGGGTACCTTACTAAAACTCCAATAATGTAATCCAATGTGTAAAAAAATTATCTAAAATTATTTACATCGCGTGCGCTACTTCTCAAGCGAAGCCGGGACGGGCCACTAGTCATAGATAAATCATAATTTACTAAGAGTAGAACATAAAATTACTTCAAGGTGACGAACGTGAACATCAAACCGCCCGAGGATTTCTGATGCTGCCTACCTACAACTTAACGCATCAGAAATCTTTTATCGTAATGCCAGATTAACATCGATTTTAGATTTACCGCCTTAAGATAAACACGATTGCGTAACCCTTTCACCGAGCACGTGGGCACAGCCCTTTAACGCATTTCATATTCCTATTTCCATTCCGTTCAACCGTCGCAGGAGGATTATATTCTGTTTTCGTATCCTATTATTTCACAGGGTGAAAATAGGCCACCCGCTACCTCACTCACTCATTCAAATGGTGACACCCCAAACATGGATGTGTGATGTGTACGAATGCGGTATGTACCTGTGTGAGTGCACCTTCTCAGGGTTCGCGTGTACGTGTGCTGTATCATCAACAGTAAACCACTGTCAACGACTCGTCAAAATAATATTGGCTTAACGCCAGAGACCGTACATATACCGAACGCAGAAACTTGATACGCGCACGAATTTAATTAGAATGGCTTAAATTATTATAAAATTGAGTCTTTTCACCTAGGTATATATGTACATACATGTGAAAATTCGTTCTTTCGTCTATTTCAAATGAAGCCAAAAGCATACAGTTCATTTTGTGCGTGACTTTTAGCTGAATAATCAGCTAAAAAGAGCACAAGAAGAGGTAATTTATTTATTGAAAAAACCCATTATTAATTCGGATATTTAATAATCATAATGGATCTAATCGATTAATACCTTGAAATTACAAATATTTCATTAGCTTGATTCAATGAGAAGCATGTAGATATTTGAATATGATATATGTACTTTTTCTAATGGGGCGTTAACGAACTCATAGTCGACGTAGTTTTTAGGATGCCACTTCCTGACTTAAGCTATCAAATAGAAAATATAAATTCAATGCAATAACCCGCCGATTGTTTCGTGCTAGAAATGAACAGAGCAGTTCTATCGGTTCTAGTAAGTTGTCCGAATTGACGCCATATTCTATCACCAGTCATCAAGAAAATAATATAGTAAGGAGGACAAGAAGACAGATAACAAGGTTAGATGATGATAATGCTGTATTTAGTTATCAACGACTCAAAACCGACAGCGAGCGTATTGTTTTTTTAAGCGCATTAGTGAAAATGTTCAATGCAAGGAACTCCCATAGACACAGGCCACTGAGTTTCTCGTCAGATCTTCTCAGTGGGTCGCGTTTCCGATCCGGTGGTAGATTCTGCGAAGCACTGTTCTTGCTAGGGCCAGTGTTAGCAACACTCCGATTTGTGCCCCGTGGTCTCACCTATATATTAGGGCGAAGCTGATATAGCCCTCAAAGCTATCAGCATAGGTAGGGAAAAAAAAGCAAGGAATGTTTTTTGGTTTTTTAAACAGCTAAACCACAGCATAAAATTAAACAAAGTCTTCATTTTTTATAGTAGAAAATTAAAGTGATGTGATGTAGTCGTTTTACTGAATTGCTTTTTCCCACAAACGCACTTATCCACTTTTACCTAACAGTTCTACCTACAACAGTTTTTTTTGCCTACCTATGCTGATAGCCTTGAGAGGCTATTTCAGCTTCGTCCTAACGTTTGTAGGTGAGCTCACGGGGCTCAAACCGGAGAGTTGCTAAAACTGACCCTAGCAAGAGCAGTACTTCGCAGAATCTACCACCGGATCGGAAACGCAACCCACTGAGAAGATTCGGCGAGAAACTCAGTAGGCTGTGTCTATGGGTTAATTCGCTCGTCGAGCCCTTCGTCGCAAGTGACGGGTTCGACGAGGACGGTGACCGGACCTACAACAGAAGAACGATGAAAATGTAGTACCTAGTACTTGAAGGTAGTTGTAGCGTAGTGATGAAGGGAGATAGACAATTATCGTGTAAGGTTCTCCTGTTGAACACATCTATATTTATGTCTGTCTTCTGTCTATCTTCATAAACAAAATGCACGTTTGTTCTTTACGCGTTGCGAAACCATTAATCTGATTGTATTCATATTTATTACAGTTATTTTCAACCTTTAAAGAAGCTCATAAGAATTTCAACAAATGTATATATTGTATGGATTTAATGATAGTCTGGCAAGTATAATCGCTTATAAGTAGTTTCAAAAATAAATTTAATCACATACAAGCATAGTACCACTCTCAATTGCATATATCTATAACGTAGAATTAAATGAATTAATTAAAGTAAAACTGTATTTAAAGCATCTCCATCTCCCATCTTCATTAACTGATTTTTGCAGTAGAACGATTAAAATAAAAAATTATATCCATGTTCAATAAAATACACTGTTAAAACCCATCTTAATCTTCAAATCTCATTTGAAATCCCTACGAGAATCATCAATCTTCAACTAATTGTAAAATAATTAAAACCAACTAGCTGAGATGGATGCGTCACAAACGGGTCGTGAAATGACAGCGGCTATGAATTCATGATTCTTATTATAATTCCTTTCAAAGAAAAAATATTAAAGGAAAACAAAAATTCTTTGAAAACAGTCTCAATTGAGAACAACGTTCCACAATAAATTGCATTGCAAATTCGGTAAAAAAAAAATCGTAAAAACCACACTTAAAGTCAAACGCGGTAGTGTGATAACCAAGTGTTGCTTATGCAAGATCACGAATGTAATTGCTCCCTTGTCTGGTATGACACTTCAAGCACAAGAGAGACGAAGAATCCAAAAAAGTAGAGGGAGAACGAGATGGATGACACCTAAATCAACAAAGCCGTAAGCGACAAAAATGATTGATTGCTAGCCGTCTTGCGCTGAGCTCTATTTAATCACTTTATTCCCTTTTCTCCGTTTGTGTTGGGATAATTTTGTATTTGTATAATTTGTATACGGAATGAGGAGGTATACCTCCCGAGAAGACGGGGCTTCATATCCGGCGCCTATCCGGAGCTTACACAAACCCGATTTTGATGTTATCACATGTCATGGTGCCGTTTGTTTTGATTTATATTACAAAGCCAGATTACGTTGCGATTAATTATTCAGCATCAAATTTGTACGTTCATTAAGGGCCGCATAAATGAGTGCGGAAGTTTTTAATGTGATATTTAAGGCGGACCCGGTTGATTTTTTTTAATATTTATTCGCCCAAGTAACACTCTTTTGAGTCACTTTAATATGATACACGGCATAATTGATTACACTCTTTTGTTCTTCTTTGTCTGATCTTAGACGCACGCGAGGCGTGTATCAAGTGTTTATCAGAGCTCTTAGACACTCACATTGCGGCATTGATGCCGTCACCCACCATGACACATAAAGAAGTACCTATTCTTTAAAAAAATGAATATCCCATACTTCTAATTTAAAAATAGATATGCACGCCAAAATTAATTGTTTCTATAAATATAAATAGGTAAATACATATGTAACATACTCTATATTATTCTCTGTTTGACAACCGAGTTTTTTTTGCAAGGCAACGTATTTTAGTATTGTTTTTTCATTTCAAAATTTAACGCAAGAAAATTGAAAAACTAGTAACACATAAAATGAATCTAATTCTTTATCTGTCAGTCTTCAATTATGTTCAGAATTCGAATTCGAATTCGATAGTAGAGCGTACTATAAAATAAAATAAAAGTTAATAGAAACTAAGCAATGACAACTAGGTTTCGATCTCGGCTTTAATAACAGCTATAAAAATTTGAATATCCTACTTTATTTTCCGTTGAAATGAGGTCTGAACAGGCCCAAAATCTTCATTGATGCCTCGATAGTAGAAAATTTTACTCCCAAAAAAATACTTCCCAGCCGCAAAGCATTTCTGTTAATATGCATATTTCAATTACAATCACTAAAATATATCTTGTTGTGTGTGTAAAACAATATTCCTATAGATAATTTTGAATAGCTCACCGCTCATGTGTCCGTTTTCGTAAGGTGAATAGTCGCCGTTTTCGAGACGGTGCTTCTTGAAGGGGTGCCCGGGGAACTGTGTCGCTGCCAGAGAGAGTCCCACTCCGGTCGCGCGCTTCGGTGGTCGACCCGGTCTGGAGCTGCGGACATAGTAGCACGTTACTGCGGTTTATGACATTGCACTTACACTAACAGTGGACGTTTGAATTAGCTTTATTAGTGATGTGGTGATACCGTCATTCGGACTATTACTGTCACGAAGCAGTACTGCGTCTTAATTAAGGATGGGATAGTGGTTAGATTAGAGAGAATTTAAATTTCGACCTCATAGGCAACGGTAATCACTTAAAACAATACTAGCCATCGGCTCCGGTGCCGGAAATTATTGTTATTATTATTAAATTATTTCAAATAATTGACAATATTTATTTTGTTTTTATCTTTACTTATCGTTACTTATTGCTTAACCGTTTCGTTACTGAAGTATTTAATAACCTTGATAGCTACATATACATCATTGCATTCGATTAAAGGTCAGAGTCACTATCTCCGTGCAAGATGTTTTTGTATTCGAAGGTATGGAATTCGTGGATTTAGTCGCTCTTGTCTCGTACATTTGCTACCAGCACCAAGAAAAACCTAAGCCTGGATCCGTGAAATAATGAACGCAATTTCTTTATATCTAGAAATATCTACACAAACCACATTCATAATTTGATATGCAAATTCTTTTTTACCGTCGTAAAGATTGTAATACAGAAACAAATATTCTGAGCTTAGCTTCTGGATATGAAGTATTTTTGGAACTAATTTAATAAAAATATTCCTAATCTTGCATTGTTATCCGCCCACATCGAATTCTCAAGCTTGTTTCTATATCTCTATATTTCTATTAAACTAGATGTCTCGAAATAAATTTAATAATGTTTTATCAGCGAAAAATAATTAAAGGAAACGTACAAAGTCCTTGCTTTACGACACTTATCAAATAAATCACTAACGTTCTAGCGTGAGGGTTGGCACAGATTTATTTTTATTTATTTCACTCCCCCAAGATTTAATACCGTAAGACGTCGTCCACAGTTTCCACAATTTCACGCTTATTGTTTTCCCATCCGTGATTTATGTTCATGTAANTTTATCAGCGAAAAATAATTAAAGGAAACGTACAAAGTCCTTGCTTTACGACACTTATCAAATAAATCACTAACGTTCTAGCGTGAGGGTTGGCACAGATTTATTTTTATTTATTTCACTCCCCCAAGATTTAATACCGTAAGACGTCGTCCACAGTTTCCACAATTTCACGCTTATTGTTTTCCCATCCGTGATTTATGTTCATGTAATAGACAACAGTATTTCTCGGACGCAATAAACTTTGTCACCTAAATCTTTGCCCTTAAGCCCTTGCCCGCGTTCAGAATGTAACTTCACCCTTGCCCTTGGTGTAACTTTAATTATGAAACCACTTACTTAGCGGCGAAACAGGTTCATACGATATTCGACTAAGGAAAGACCGGTACAAGACCGGAAAGAAGCTGCGATAGTTCATGTTGCAGTGCCTACGGATTTTCAAAACGTACAAGAAGTAACTTTAACGAATTAACTCGAGTATCACTATGTATCGATGTTGTTATTAATCAGGCAAATAAACTAGAAAACTTCTAGGAATTATACCATTTGAGTTTCCCGAAACACGGCATTAGTGTAGCAGCCTCAATTACATTCGGTATCAACTAATCCATAATACATTGCGACTAGGTACGTGTAAGTTTGGCAATTATCGGGAGGGGGGCGATGCTGTTATCATAGTATCGGCTTACGCAGAAACTGAGTCTCGCCTATTTATTTTTATGTCAGCAACCGTCATTATGAGACACTCCATTAGCTTGGATTGCGGTGAGACTCGTTTTCGGTTACGTTTTGGGGGTGCGATTGTGTGGCGTGACGATTTTTTTTTCGTGTTTGACTCGTAATACCAAAGTAATACCAAAGGGTATTAGTATTGCAGATAGAAGCTTAATTTTGATAGTAGAAATGAAATGAAAGCTTATGGCTTTCTTTTTGAAATTCAAACTTTTAGTACATTTTGTAATCATTTTATTTTGATTAAAAAGATTTTTTTCTAGAATAATTTACATACTTTGTATGTTAGGTTGGAAGATAGTATTTATAGTTCTAGGTATCTTAATAACATTATCGTACTGGTTACTGAGTTAGAAGATTCTCGTGGCAGTACCTATTTTCCTACGCCTAGAATAGCATCACTCTCTTCTCCTCTCTTTTGTAAAAGGCTATTGTATATCACTATTAGTGGAAGGCAAATTGCCACTCAGCTTGGGCGGGTACCGCCGTTTTGCCTATTTCTACCGCGAAATAATCACGCGTATATTTCCTATTTTAAGTATTAAAGTGAATAATTCCATTCAGAATTAACTAACGGGCAGTTTAAAAAATAAATTAAAAATCTTACATGATTTTTTTTGGTAAGTAAACATTAACGCACCTTTCAGAGTCGCGCGGACGCACAAAACAAAAAAAACATTGGCGACGAAATCGAATATTGAAAGTGTAGAGAGATAGATAAGGAGCACGTGGCGCGCCCTCGGCCACTTACATCATACGCGTAATCTGAATACCGCAAAGCTCACTCCGATAAACAGCCATTAAAATGCGTTCGATTTATTACCATACGATTTTCGAGTGATTTACTACACTTACGATTCAGACTATCGCCCAAACAAGGGACATTTAATATTATTAATAATAGAAAATGATAAATTACCATTGAATGTTAAAACGATAATCTAAAAATGAATTGCTATTCGTTAGTCTCGCTAAAACTCGAGAACGGCTGAACCGATTTGGCTAATTTTGGTCTTGAATTATTTGTGGAAGTCCAGAGAAGGTTTAAAAGGTAGATGAATGAATAAAAATGCTCGGAATTAAATAAAAATAACAATTTTGTTTTTCCTTTAATATGTCCCCCGTCGGACCGATTCATTTTGTTTATTTTATACAAAAGTTTAGGTCTTTTATTTATCGATTGAGGCACTACAAAGTCTGCCGGGTCAGCTAGTAATTTAATAAAATTAAATCCATTTTTATTAATATTACCTGTACTTGACTATATATTAACGCGCCCGTAACCCCGTAATAGTTCGAGGCTGGCATACAAATTCGTATACGCACGTAACGCCATATTAACCATTTATACCGGTGGTAGGACCTTTTGTGAGTCCACATGGGTAGGTACCACCACCCTGCCTATTTCTGCCGTGAAGCAGTAATGCGTTTCGATTTGAAGGGTTGGGCAGCCGTTGTAACTATACTGAGACCTTAGAACTCATATCTCAAGGTGGTTGGCGGCATTTACGTTGTAGATGTCTATGGGCTCCAATAACCACTTAACATCAGGTAGGCTGTGAGCTCGTCCAACCATCTAAGCAATAAATAAAAATTTCAGCATTAAATGTACTACAAACAATAATTGTCTCTGTATTATGATAAGTTAAAACTTTCTACCCAATTTTCCTGTCTGCCTACCCATTCTGCACACAGACCAACCCTAGTGAAACTAAAACCGCGTATAGTTTTGCTTTCTGTATATTTGCCTGGCAATATTCATCACTCACAGCTCGTGTCACTGATCAAATAGCACCCACAAAGGAGTCCCCAGATATAACCGACAGATATACAGTTGATAGATAGTTTTACAAATATGATGGAAATCCGGATCGATTGTATGCGCTGTACGTACTGTGAGATAAAATTTTCAATAGATATGTAATATATTATAAAAGAGTGATTTTTTTTTTGGTTATTTTGTATTCTATCTCTTCGGTTGTTTTTAGCATTTGACACGAAAAGATTTTAGGTACAAAACTATCAATGAATGATAAGTGGCACACGAACATATTCAACATATTAGCATACTGTATTTACTCAATATTACTTTTCGAAAACGTAAAGTAGATTTAATAAATAAATATAAACTTAATTTATATTCCCAAATTCTACACCTAATTTTAAAAGTGTTAAATCACGTATACATATTTCCATTAAATTCACATCGATTTTACTCATTAGTATGCTAGAGTTACAAATTACGTAACCATTAAAATAACAAGCTTGATGACTGTACAAAAAAAGGCCGTACATTTTTCTACTTCATAAAAATCATCTCGGACGCCACGTGAACTATTAAGTATACAAACAGCTACCGACAGTCTATGAATAGACAGTCGAGTCTTTGTTATTATATTTATATACCTATTCTAAACTCTTAGTGGACGTGTTCACACTCACTTATAATTACTTACACTAAATCATAGTTTTCACATGGTGTAAACATCCTCTCTGTTCAGTTTTAACAATTGTAAAGACCAAAAGTAACACGCTGACAGCTTATTGTAAGCTTAATCATAAATGTATATTTATCGTTTGAAACTATTTATTGTTTTACGTACTACGCATTCTGGTTTTAAATTTTAAAATAGTGTGATCCATATTTTATTTTCGAGAATCGAAACACATCGTTGATCTCCTTAATACCAACTGTTTAGAGTTTTTAAATCTTCTTTAATATTTATTTAAATAAATTTAAAAAAAATGAAAAGAATAGGACTTATTATTTGGAAAAAATGCGTGTCTGCCCCTGGATTTGTATCATGATTGTTTGTTTGACATTCAAAATGAATCGAAAACGTGCAGTAGGTACGCGCAGTGACGAAGCTATGAGCGAAGGTAGCCATTTTTTTTCATTGCTTGGATGGATGGACGAGCTCACAGCCCACCTGGTGTTAAGTGGTTACTGGGGCCCATAGACATCTATAACGTAAATGCACCACCCATCTTGAGATATAAGTTCTAAGGTCTCAGTAACGTTACAACGGCTGCTCCACCCTTCAAACCGAAACGCATTACTGCTTCACGGCAGAAATGGGCGAGGTGGTGGTACCTACCCGTGCGGACTCACAAGAGGTCCTACCACTAGTAGTTACGCAAATTATAATTTTGCGGCTTTGATTTACATTACACGATGTTATTTTTTCACCGTGGAAGTCAACCGCGAACATTTGTCAAGTACGTATTTCATTAGAAAAATTGGTACCCGCCTGCGGGATTTGAACACCGTTGC